AAAACCCCAACAATGCTCAAAAAAGGGGATTGTTCTGAAACCTGTTATTAAAAGGACTCCTACTTACTCCAACTTTAACAATAATGTTCACTACGTGGGTTGAATGTCAATTTCTAAAAGTGTACCAAGTTTCCAAAAGTCTCCATACTTTATGATAGCAAGGACACTGTGAAAAATTCAATTTGTCATGTCAAATTTACAGAGTGCCAAAATTTTAAAAATGAAAAGACAAAGTTTAAAAGCCATTTGCAGTTTGCATTAAATAAAATTTGAACTCATTTTACAAATAAGGTCCTGAGAGCTTGAGTTTCATTACAAATCTAGAGTCAGCAAGCACTTAAGTTTCTCTGAATTATGTCTCCCTTTGAAATTTTGGGTTTTGATAACAAACTTACACTAATATCAACTTAAAAAGAAATGACTAACATCAACTTAAAAAGATATCCACTTGAGAAAAAGTCGCTTGCCTCTTTCCAGAGCAGGTAAGTTTCTGTTTCATTACCACTCTACCAAAACTGGATGAACAGGGAAGCCTGTTTTGTTTTGTTTTTTAAAAGGCATTTTCCATTAAAAAAATTATGAGCAGTATAATTTTAAGCTAATTGGGTTAAACCTTACATCTTCTGTTTGAGTCAATTAATAACTTGAGTGACATGCAAGGCACTCTGTTAGATGCTGGGAATACCACTGTGAGCAAAATTGGTAAGAGTTCCTATGCCTTATGATGCTTATAAGTTAGTGAAAGAGACTGACATTATCAAATAATCATACTAACATATGAGTGAGTAACTACAGCACTATTTTTCTTCGGTCTAAAAAATGTGACTTCAAACGTACAAAGAGGATGCGTAAAACATCAACTTAACAACATCAACATGCAATATGTCATTTTGCCAAAAACACCAGAATTTTCTCATTCACCAGGCTAGTAACTCTTTCAGGCCCCATAAATGAATTTTTTTCCTTAAAACATACCTGCTATGCAATTCTTCCTACTGCTTCTATCCTAGATTAAGATCTCATCTCTTCATACTCAAGTAACTGCCACAGCAACGGTTTTCCCTCCTCCATCCCATTCTGTCCTCATTCTAATTCAACCTCGACATCATTGTCAAGTTCATCTTGCTGGTTAAATGCAATGATCCTTGGCTTCCAAACATTTGTTGGCTCCCCAAACCTTCACAAGAGGATAAAAATCCAAATCTCCATACAACACTCAAACCGTTTTACAGACATTTTCAACGGTAACATTTTCCTTTTAATTTCCCGAGGCAATTCGGTTGTTGACTCATCCTCCTTTCCTCCTAGCCCCCTCTCTCAAAGCTAATCTCCACTTTTCCTTTTGCTTCATCTTCACAAAGTATAAATGCTCTACCCTCTATAAATCTAAACCCTCACAGGCCAGTTCAGGCCCCAAATATTCCAGGAGATTCTTTAGACTCCTGAGGCCCTACACATCTCCCTACACCCTGGATATCCGCAGTATCCTTTGTATTTCAGAACTCACTAGATTGTCTGCTCAACTCATAGAGCACATCTCATCTTTCCAATACGAACCTGGGGGCAAAGTCTATACACTTCCTTCTTCTCTTCCACAGCACCTAGTATAATACAAAACACAGAGCAGACCCTCAGCAATCACCTTTGTAATTGAACACAATGTTCAATTTTCAGTGTGTGCGTTTCAATGACTAGAATATAAAATCAGAATGATTTGGCTTTATTGTATTTCTGAAGCTTAACCTGTGACATGCTACAAAGAAAATGGCTATGACTCAACAATAAGATACATGGAAAGGAGGCAGTACAACCTGGAAAACCACAGGTGTTTTAAATCCTAAAATTAGAGTCTGACACAAAGAACTTGTTTAAAATGCTGGTGTTGGGACATAGAACAATATAGTAGTTAGGCTTTATAGGGCGGAATGTTATTGACTTAGCAGTTTTATTGAATTCATGCAAGAATGAGCCATCCTCTGCTTATGCACAGGGAGACAGCTCAGGGGGCAGGAGAGTATGGAGGGATGGACACTAGGAAGAGGTAACTAAGGGGAGGAAGTGGGAGGGGAGCTGTTGCATTGTGGTAAACTGTGGTCAATGACATGAGACAAAGTATATGTGAACTCCTGCATGGAAAGTGAATTTGCTCTGTAAATCTTCACCCAAATCACAATAAATAATAATAATAAAAAAGAATGAGCCATCCTATAATTGGGCTAAAATGTAGTCACGGACCTATGGAAACTCTAGATAAAATGTCATTGAGTCTTCATTAAATTCAGGTTAAGAAAAAATTTTCCATCAGTCAGTTTTAGTAACTGAGTATAGTTATCAGAATCAAAGTGAGGTCTTGATACTTGCTACAATATGAATGGAGCTTAAAGACATTATGCTGAGTGAAATAAGTCAATCACAAAAGGGCAAATATTATATGACTTCACTTATACAAAAAGACAAGAAGAGACCAAAGTGATAACCAGGAATGGGAGGGAGAGAGGGAGAAAGGAGATGTTATTGCTTATAGAATACTGACTTCTGGCATACAGTGACAGAAAAATCGCACTGATTAAGGATAGTCAATTAATGTAATGGTTGTCAGTAGGGTGTACACCTATAAAAAGTTGAACTAGCAGAAGTTGTGTGATAGATGTATTTACAATAATGGGAAAAAAAAAAAAGAGTAGCTGCTGAGGCTGCTTATGTACATCCAAACACTTGATGGGATTTGGTTCCCTGTTTGGAAGTTTAGGGTTATGATTCCATAGGACAAGGAATGGCCTAATATAGGGGTTAGTGATTCTGTTCTACCACCTAGTTTGTTGTGTAGTGTCTGGGGTTTTAAAAGCTTGCAAGCAGCCATCCAAGGCATAACAATTGGTTTCAAATCGGCTAGAGCAACAGAGGAAGAAAGAGAATTAAGAATAGGAGGAAGATATGGAATGTGTGGCCCACTACCTCCAGGAATAACTGCCTCCTGTGCCATGAGACCAGAAAATCTAGATGGTCCTTGGCTCGCACTACTGAACATTCTGATCAAAGATTCAGAAGAATCCTAATCAAAAGTGGGAAAATGCAAAACATAATTTCAAATTCTCATGAAATCCAGACTTTCTGGAATCGAGGGGGCTGAATGAACCCCTAAAACTACTGCCCAGAGATAGTCTTTAAACCTTAAACCAGAAATATCCCCTGGAGTCTTCCTAACACTAAACAATAGGTTGGCTTACCTAATAAAAAAATGAGTGCTTCAAACATTATGGTCTTTAAAAACTATCTTCATGGGATCAAAATGGCAACAGCAACTCGAAAGATTAGATAGGAACCTTAGGGGGCAGTGAGTTTATGTTCATGGGGGAGGAACGATTTAAAAAAGAGGGTGAGAATGGTTGTACAACTTTCAGAATCTAACCAGTGTCACTGATTTGTACATGTAGAAAGTCTTGCATTGGTGTATGTTCTATGTATATTCTCAAAAAACTAATTTATTTTAAAAATTTGGAACAGAATCTTAAAAAACAACAAAGAATCAGTGAGGCACACTCATTTGTTTACAACTGTAATGCAAAAAAGACCTAGGGCAGGGATGGGTGGTGGTGGCAAAAAATGCAATCAATGAAGAGCTCTCTAAACCCGGCAAGGAGAGGCCTAAACCACCCATCAAAGGTGATTCCCCTCCTTAGCAGATCCTTTAATACAGAGCAGAACTGCCCCATAGAGTTTCCAGTCTTTGGGAACGCAGACTGCCACATCTTTCTCCTGCGGAGAAACTGGTATGTTTGAACTACTAACCTTTAGGTTAGCCACAGAGCGCTTGAGCCAGTGCGCCACCAGGGCTCCTTTTCTTTTTTGGCCCACTCCCTCACCAGCTGTAGCTCTTAAGCAAGTCACTCACCTCTTTGGGCCGAGTTTCCCAGCTGTGAAAACAGTCACCCGGATCTCTCAAGATTTTTCTAAGTCTAAAATGCCAGGGAAAGTCTAATCAGGGCTGCAATTTCCTATCCTTCTTTTATGCCACATTTCTGGAAGACAGTAATCTACTTCAGCAATCTAAAAGAAATGGATGCCATTCAGAGACGAAAGATGCTGTACGCTGAGAAAGCTCCGGAATTCTGTAAAGATGCCTATTTCCTCACTATTAGGAAGACGTTTTTAGCATAGGAAACGGTGCTCCACTAAAGAGAACCGACTGCTCGTGCAATTAGGCCTCCTCCGGAGAACTTCGGCTCAGTGCTGCTAAGGGAAGAAGTGCTATTGTAGTTCGAAGAAGCAACACTTCTCAGAGCTTCTCTGAAAAGGGTGAGAAAGTTCTCATCCTCGGGGTAAGACTAGTAAAAAAGCTGTGCAAACAAGGCACTGAAAAATGCATGGTTTTTGTCGTCTAAATACTCCAAGCACAGCCTCCTCCTCTTTATCGAACCCCGGGTATTGTCTTCTACCCCACCTGTCAAAGCTCCACTCCAGTTTTACCCAGAGCAGTAACTCACCGGGACCATCGAACTTCTCCGGGGAGGAGCCGTCCACTGGCTTGCTCCCACCCCAGTGCCCGGACAGCCGCTCTCACGCCACCCCAGGGCGGTCGCAGCCCCGCACCCAGGTAAACACAAGCCGCCCGAGTCTCGGGAGCGCTTCCCCGCGTCCTGGGAGCGGCGGGACCCGCCCCTCGGAGGCCGCCGGGCCACCGCCGCGGCCACCTCGGGCCGCTCTGCCCGCCCGGAGCGCCACACCTCGCGCCTCTACCTCCAGGACAGCGGCGCGCACAGCCCAACCCGCCCCTCCGAGAGCACAGGGACCGGCTAGTCCGCCGCTGCCGCCGCCGCCTCAGTCCCAGACGGACGACTTCCCCCCTTCCCCGCTCCGTGCCTCAGAACCTCCCGCGACACTTCGGCCCCAGCCCGCACGCCCCCACCGCCTAGTCATAGCCCCGTCCTCGCCGGGACGCCCCGCGCCGCGCCGGGCAGAGCATCCGCTCCACAGGCTCGGAGACACCGAGGGACACTCACCACGGAGGCTCCTCCCGCCGCTGCTGCTGCCGCCGGTGGGACCGCTGCCGTCGCCCCCGCCGCCGCTGCCACCAGCACCACCGTCCGCACCGGCGCCAGCACCCCCGGCCATCCTCCTACTGCCGCCGCCGCCTCCCTCTCCGCTCCTGTCAGTGGCTCAGGCTCCGGGACTGCTCCAGGTTCCCCTCGCCGCCATTTTGACTCCTAGAGGCAGCAGGAGGGGCTCGGCTCGGCACGGCCCTGGGGCGCCTGCGCGGCGCTGCGGAGCCGGCTGGGCCCCCGCCCGCCCCCGTCATCGCCGCGCTTGGATCACGTGGCCTGACGGCGGCGCGCGCGTCGGGGCAGACCGAGGAGGCGCGTTCGCGGGACCCGGGAGAAGTCGGAGCCGGGTGCGCGCGCATTATTCCAATTCAGGTCTCAGAGCGAGGGTCTTCGGGTTCCTCCAAGTTTGAAGCTTGTTGGGGCATCCAGCTTATTCCGGTGAGGTGAATTGTGACACATTTTTTAATGTACCAGAATTGAATTATAATAGCCACTTTACTGTATGACCAGTTCTACCAATTTATGTTTCAATTCGGCCCGCATCCCTTGATTGATCGCACACAATACATCCTGCTCAAAGAGAAAGATCGCCTCCGCGGGAAAGTCCTTTCTGACACACTTGGCCTTCTGGTGGCTTCTTTTTGAAGGTTTATTATAAGCATCTGTGTAGTTCTTTACAGGCACCGCCTTACTAGTTGCATATACATATAAAAAAAATACCAAACTCACTGCCATCGAGTGGATTCCAACTCATAGCGACCCCTATTGGGTTTTCAAGGCGGTGAATCTTTATGGAAGTAGATTGCTCCATCTTCCTTTTGCCCAGCTGCTGGGTTTGAATCGTCAACCTTTTGGTCAGCAGGCAAACGCCTTAGGCACTTTGCCACCAGAGCCAAGAGAGACTAAAGAATTCTGTCAACAAGATACATAAACAGGGCGCGAGAATTGAAAAACACGTAATCACCTCTTTGGAGAGCCAAATTGCTCTTCCCTAGGTGCCCCTAGTCTGGGAGTTTGCAATAATTTCAGCGATGCAATAACAAAAATACCTTATATTTATGGAGCTCCTTAACAGTTTTTCACAACACCGTTAAATACAGGGTTGCCTTTGAATGCCAAAACCACCCTTTGAGGCAGTCAGCAGAGTTGTTATTATCGCTGTTTTACAGCTAAGGAAACAGGCTCAGAAATACTAAGTCGTTTGCCCAAGGGCACACACAAAGCATTAATAAATGGGCAAGCCAAGACTAGAACCCAGACGCTCTGACTCTTGGTCACCAAGCACCATTACAGCACACTGTCTTCTAATAAACTACTTGCTGTGGAATTGAGTCCAACTCATGGCGACCCCGTGTGTGTGACAGAGTAGAAAGGTGTTCCACTACACCTTTCTACTTTCTACTTCGCACTACAACACCCACTCCCTCACTAATTTTTCAGAAGTAGATCACCAGGCCTCTCTTCCAAGGCTTTTTAATAGACCTTAGCAATATATTATGCATTTTACCTGTAAGAATTTATTTAAAACCCTCTTCGAAGTATTTGCATTTTTAGACTTCACCCTCTTTTTGGAAATCAAGTTTTCTAAGGTGCACTGAGTCCTTTTTCTGTTGTTGTTGTCCTCAAGCCGCTTTTAGGCTTCAAAGGATAAGTGCAATTTGGAATTCTGTGATGCATTTTTAATGACTTTTTGATCCTTTATTACTTTATGCATATCGTACTTGGTTGGAGGATTTTAATTTTTCAGACGTCCTTCAATGGAAGGACTTTATCTTTTTTTAGCATCGTCTTGCTTTTCTCTGGACTTCGTTCATGTTTACTGTACCTTCTTTTAATCATTCTTCACCTCTTTCCTTCCACAAAAAGATACCTCTTCTCAATTTGTATTACTTCTCTATTCTCCTTTCACTTTTAGCATCTCCCCTGCCCCAGTCTTCGAAGATTTGGATATTATAGCAGAGATTGTGGTGATACTTTGTCCAAAGAAAGGATTCCTGTCTAGCTGTAAGGTTCTCTTCAACTGAGCACACAGCTGTTGCAGTGGGCGGGAAGTACATGGACAAGTGAGAAATACAAGAGAAATTAGCCCAGCTAGTTGAAGCAAATGGAGCTGCTCGTGGTGTAAATGGTTAAGCACTCGGCTACTAACTGAAATGTTGGGGGTTCAAGTAAACCCAGAGGCTCCTCAAAGGAGAGCCCTGGGGATCAACTTCTGAAAAGTCACAGCCATTGAAAACCCTATGGATATTTCTGCTCTGAAACACAGGGGTTCACCATGAGTCGTAATCAACTCAATAGTCATTGTATTTAGTTGGAACAAAGAATGGGCTCTGGGTGCCCACCTTGTATTCCCCTCTATGCAGCTCTGCTTCATCTAAATACATAATTGAATTTTACCTAAATCGAAGCCACTTATCATTATTTTCCACTATTTTACCTTGATTTGTCTTCGCCAACTAACGATTGCATTAACTGAGAGGTAACCAGTTACCGTCGAGTCAACTCTGATGCATGCCAGCCCCGTGTGTGTAAGGAGAATGGGCTCCAGAGGGTTTTCAGTGACTGATTTCTGAGAAGTGGGTCACCATGCCTTTCTTCCTATGTTCCTCTGGGTGGCCTCGACCCTTAACCTTTGGGTTAGCAGCTGAGCACATCAGTGGTGTGCACCACACAGTGACACCACATTAACGGAAAGGGTTGTTACCTACAGACTAACACATTCCATCGTCCACACCTCTTGATCATTTAAAACGTTCAGAAACATTGGTCCCCACTCTTCACACTTGCTCATTTATGCCTAACCATCATTACTTGATTTTGGTTCTGTTTCCTGCCCACAATATTGATTTATACATTTATTTTATTGAAGTGGTTTCTCTGCACTTTTTTTTTTTTTTTTTTTTCTTTTTTTTACTTATTTTTTTTTTTTATTGTGCTTTAGGTGCAAATTTATAGAACAGAGTTTGTTTTACATTAAAACGTTCAGAAACATTTGTCCCCACTCTTCACACTTGCTCATTTATGCCTAACCATCATTACTTGATTTTGGTTCTGTTTCCTGTCCACAATATTGATTTATACATTTATTTTATTGAAGTGGTTTCTCTGCACTTTTTTTTTTTTTTTTTTGCCTCTTTTTACTTACTATAGGAACTCTGGTAGCATAGTGCCTAAGGCATTTGACTGCTAACCAGAAGGCTGGTGGTTCAAATCCACCAGCCACTCCTCAGAAGGAAGATTGGACAATCTCCTTCCGTAGTGATACTGCCTCAGAAACCCAAGGAAGGGTCACTATGAGTCGGATCCAACTTGACAGCAGTGAGTAGTACTTACTACAGGATCTTTGGTGGCGCAGTGGTTAGGACATTTGGCTGTTAACCACAAGGTTGGAGGTTTGAACCCATCAGCACCTCCGTGGGAGAAGATGAGGCAGTCTACGCCCTTAAAGATTATAGCCTTGGAAACCCTGTTGGACAGTTCTACCCTGGCCTATAGGGTCTCTGTGAGTCAGAATAGATTCAGTGGCAGGGAGTTTTATACTTAGCCTATTTCTATCATGAATCTCTTTACTTTTATATTTATATGTTTAGCAGTTTACTCTCCTTTCCCCATCCACCACGGTAACCATCAAAGACTATTTCTTATTTTGTCAAATCCTTTTCTTTTTTTTTTTTT